GAGATCATCAACACGCCGATATCGGCGTGGGCCGCGCCAGAGATCATATTCGGTACATAGTTCTTATGACCGGGAGCATCCAAGATGGTAAATCGTCTATTAGGTGTTTCGAAGTGGGCCCGACCAACCTAATAGCAGACTGGACACCAACACTACCACTACCTCCCCTCTACCTCGACGGTGATGCCTTTGGCCCTCTCCTCCTCGTTGGTGTCCATGATATAGGCCAAAAACCACGACTCACGATTCTTGTCCTTAGCCTCCCTCTCGAACTTCTCAATGGTCCGATTATCCACCAACCCTACCACCACCCACGAGTGAAGTCCTCTTCCTTATGCTGTCACCCCCTCCCCCTTTACTACCAGATAAATACATAATATTCCCACAGGTAGTCGACTTGCCGGCATCGACATGACCGATGAAGACCAAGTTCAAGTGAGGCCGAGGGTCGCAGTCCTTCAACTGGCTAGAGGCGTTATCAGATGACATCGGGGGCAGACGACAACAACAACAAGGAACACTATGGATCATTAAGGTCTCTTCTACTAGTATGAGTCAGGATATAGAGCCTGATCGGTTACGATGGCGAGCGCAGCGGACATGATGGGGTTTCGGGTTCGATCCCCGGTGACGGTATTTCTATACCCGCACTGGGCACGACAATCTTGTGCCCAATGTACTCCATCGCTGCAACGACATGTATGGGGACTGTTGCCCCAAGACTAAGCCCCGGGCATATAAAGAGATCGACTTTAAAATGTGCGAGCGGTCACCAATGTTCTCCAGAGAATCGACATGCTTGTCGGGATGTCACTATAATAATGGTAATCTTTATCATTTCTGCATTGTACCTCGTATTTGAACCTCAAATTTCGCGGATACTACAGTATACTGGAGTTTCACCGATGATATCAAAAACACTAGTGAAAAACATATTTCACGGCTACTGCATACCGCGAATATTGGGATTTCGACAGAGTTTTACGCCACTTCACGTGAAACGGATGAAACTCCCCCGGTCAACATTACAGTTCAGTCTATAGGTTACTGCTTTCCTTCGTCGAACTTGACTTCATGTTTGGTGGTGGATTTGAACTCTTCTTCCCGAGTTCACAAACTTCGTTTACGAATTTGAACTTCCATCTTTAAAAACCCCTCACAAATTACCACATAACTTGACAGAGTTATAATCCGCCTCCTTAGTGAACTATGCCTCATAGATCAACCACCTCCCTATCGCGGTGCGAACGCAAAGCCTCATAAACAATTAAAAACGGTTGAGATAGAAACAGTTGTTGATGATGATGTTGTTGTCATTGGCATCATCATCTTCAATGTTATCACCTCGAGTATTACTATCACAAGTCCATGAATAAACATACGGCTACAGAGGCATCAACAGTAATCATTATAGTAGTAACATAAGCGAAGGACGAGGGGGGACACTACCCCATAGCCACCTCCTTATGGTAAAAGAATGTACCTGAGTAGTACTAATATGATGTGGCCGACGTGTGGTACGAATATACTACATTTTAAAAATTAGCGTTAAGCCTGTTGGCATATAAAGCCACCTTGTCATCATCATCAAAGACACCAGCATCTTGTAAGCCTTACAATGTAAGGTCTTGACCAATTCCATCACGAAGATGTCAACGATATTTGGTATGTCCAATTTCATGTCTTCGATGATCCTAACAGTAACCCATCCTTTGCCCCATACAGTGATGAGGACCACAGTGGACTCACTCAGGGTCAGCAAAGTCATCTAAGGCCTTCTCTAGGGCTGTAACCTCCCAACTAATACCTCTCCTGTCGCCACTAAAGAGCTTCCCAAATGCCTACAATAAAAGGCATGCCATAGATAAGCATAGGAAGCCCACCTCATAATGTGCCTGCCTCTGTTCTTTCTTAATATCACAGCTAGCCCCTATACGATCAATAAGGATCTTAATCTGTTGCTCAGG